ACTTTCTGAAACAATCGTTCGACAGCCATCTATAAGTCAAATGACAAATCAAGAGATATAGGAATGATTCAAGCTGGACAAACGACCAAACAAGTAGCTCAATTATTCAGAGTTCACAACTGCACCATTGGGAGACCATGGCAGAGGACTGTGGCAACCCTTTGCTTAGTGCAAGACAGACCACTAGAAGGACGTCCAAACGTACTTCAATATCCCAGGACGTTCTGTTTGGACAAGGGATCTGCAAAATAAAGTCCAAAAGGCTACATTTATCACTGTGTCTGATCAAACGATCAGAAATCGTCTTTACGCCGTATATGTACTTTCACGTCGACCAGCTGTACGTGTACCCCTCAAACAGACGAATTCTAGTCAATTCGACACCTGGTACAGTGTAAAAATTAGCACCTGGTTAATTCGGCACCACGTAAAGTGATTTCGGCCTGGTCAATTCGGTACCTAGTCAATTCGGTACCTGGTGCACTCGGCATCTAGTCAATTCTTGGCACCCGTTTTTGAATAGTTAAGAATATAATAAATACTATAATTTTTTGAAGATGTTTTAGATAATTATCTTCATCAAACAGTTTTCTTTCATTCCTAAATGGTTGCTATTTGAACAAAAATGCGATCAATGTTTCTATTCGAAAAAGGAACGGCTGCTAGCTGAAATAAATATATTGGATACACTTGAAACAAGTTATAAAACTGTCAAAATGCGACCTAATTCGATTAAGTCTCCGATTAATCCTTGTGCAAGGAATAAGTAATTTAAGTGATTTCCATAAATGATGCTAAATGTTTTTTTGCGGAATAATCTTCTAAAAATTAGAAAAAGTAAACATTTCCCAAGAGTGTACGCACTGTCAAGTCAGTATACTCCAGGTTTTCCAATCTAACTAAAATCAGATCTTTGTTACGCTCCGAAATTCTGATGGACGACCATCAGAATTTTGGAGCGTAACAAAGATCTGATTTTAATCAAATTGTAAGTTTTCATTATTCTTCTAAGCATTTACAGATTAGACTGTGTTTATTTCGGTATGTGAAGATGTGTAAGTCTATAATATACGTAAATCTATATAACAATATTTTAAAAGTGTATTTTGAAAGAGATTTCTAGACGAAACCAGATCTTCTTAAGTTACGGTTGCTATCAGAGTTGGTATATAAGCAACGGTTATAAACTAAAAATAATGCATCGGTCGCTATTTGAAAAATAATTTGTTTTCCATAAGGAAAAAGAAATTCAACAAAATCGTGCTACCTAAATTAGATTCATTAAATCACAAACAGCATGTGAAACACATCTAGCATACTATATGAAGGAAATGAAAATTAATTTTTTATTGAAATGAAAGAACTTTTACCATCAGTACTTCAAAACCTTTTCAAAGCATAAAGATTCTTTTGGGATTTTTGTAGCCTACATGTTTACTTAGACTTAAATAATATATAGAAAAGATGACGTATAACCTTTGTTTTTTTTTTCTCGAAGCGCAGTAGTGCATACGCTCTAGCTAAAGAAAATACAACCACAGGCAATATTCAAAACATCAGATCTTGAATGGAGAGGTGTCTGACCCCCCCCCAAACTTTTGGATTTTCATAGTTATACACTGTCAGGTAAGAGGAGACAAACCCCCCTCCCTTGTCTCTGCCACAGAAGAAAGGTTTTTCAGATAGAGAATTTTTAAACTTTTGCTTATCAATTTCCTTAGGTTGAATTGTATATCTCATTTTTTTTTAATTTTTGAGTGTTCTTGGAACCCCCACCCCTCCCTCTTTTGGGGAAAAAACTGCAGCCCCAAACGCTAAAACGGTTGTCTAATATTCTATCTAGTAAGTAACATAAGTAAAGTATATATCATACATTTAAAGGAAAGAACATTACAAATATGAATAGACATATGTAATCTTTTCCGAAATAAAAAGGGGGGCGGGGCGGTGTAATTGTGATCAATTCCACTTTCGTTCTAATTTTCAATACATGTATATTATTTGGACATTAGGAGTGTTTGACCATACTGTACATCAAAAATTGAATTTAAAAAAAAATCAATAAAATGTACAGCAATAGACTCCTCTTAAAAGGAATGGGAAGGCCGGGAGAGAGCAGCACCCCCCCCCCCCCAACCACCACCACCCCACCCCCCTTTTTTTACGTGCTCTATGAATATATTTGGAGCAGGACCGTTTTAAAGAAACATGATCAAGTTTGAACTTACAATGCGCATATTATTGGTTTAATTATAAATGTCTTACGGCAAAACCTTACCCATTTCTCCCTTACTACTAGTACTTCAATTTAGATATTTTACTGCTATTTTGAATTGTTCATGAAAGGAAAGCTGCTTAAAGATAATTCACTAAAACAAATATTACAGATATTTAAATTAATCCAAACTTATTTTCAAATTTCGTGCACGGAAATGACAACGTAACGGTAAATCAGTATTAATAGGTGTAGAGTAGTAAATTTATAGTCCATAATTGAAAAAAGTAAGATCTTTAACGTCAATTGAATTTAATTCAATATTAAGGAAAAAAATGTTAAATCGTTCAAATGAGGATCTAATTACAGCATATATACATGTATACACATAGCTCCGAGTAAATTTCCGTTTTCGTGATATTCTCCGAGCGTTTTTGATTCAGGTCTAAAAGCTGTACATGGCAAAAACATTCTTAGTCTTAATACTGAAAATATGTTTTTGTCTTTAATTTTGTTATGTTTGTATGAAATGTTATAAACGTACAAAATAAATTTGTGTGCATGTTACGGAAATGACTGTTACGGAGACGAAAAAGTTTCCATTGATTTTTATTTATTTATTTATTTATTTTTAATGATTTGTTTGTACAGCATCATGCTTTATATTTTTACTTGATATATCTATATGAAAAGAAATTGATATAACGACTCCAGTACAATAAAAATTCTTTTCAAAGCAGCAGGCTTGTTAGGAATCTACATGAGGTCGTGTAATTCAGGTTGTAAATGTGATGCAACGCACGTGTTAAATCACCATCGATATTTTATTCCTGAATGTTGAACATTGTAATAAAATAAAACTCTTTTACGCCAACTAATTGCTGCAGTGGTAATTTTAAAAAAAACAAATAAGTACATTTTAAGTTTATGAAGTAAAATATACTATGATTTTTGGTATGGCACGGATTTGGTATTTAATTTAAATATTTTTACAGTTCTAAATTTTCAACAATATAAAATTTGTAATTCTCTTCTAAGGATTTATACTAATGTTTATTAACGTTGTCCCAAAGTTCAAAAGATTTTTTCAATGGAAATGCATTCCCAGATTATATAGTAAGGAGAGTTTTGTTTTGTTTTGTTTTGTTTTGTTTTTTTTTTTGTTGTTGTTGATTTTTTTGAGTGAGACAATTTTGTTGGTATGGTGTCTGTAAATAAATTGTGAATTATGGGCTATTTCAAAAAGGACATTTGCTAAAATTATCTATTTGAAAAACAATATTATGTCTTCCCTTGTCAAAAATTCGTTGCCTAATATTTCAATTTTTCGCTTTATGCATTTCAACACGCTGGCATAAAAAAAATACAATTTTGAAGCTTTTTCAAATCTTAGTTATATACATTTTTTGGTAAAGCAAAGGACAACGGGTAATTCTAAAAATAAACTTCCATTAAATTTTCTTCTATTTTCCACTAAAAAATGTTTCAAAATTCAGGATCTGTGTTTATTCAAATGCACATTATTTAATACAAAACAATCAAATATAAAGATAACAACTAGAATTATAAAATTTTCTACTTAAGATAATTATTACACGCTTCTTTCTGTAGCTTCAACTTTTCTATACCCGCAAAAATTTAGCGAGACTGAGAGAGATTACAGTATATATTTATGCACTGATAATTCAATGTTGTACGTTTCAGTACAAATGATAGAATTATTCGAAATTTTCTTTAAAGAAAAGGCCTTAAACTTACAGTATACCTAATTGAGTTTTCCACACATGAACTTTAACTCATTAGATCTATACTTTACAAAGAGCATTTTTCTGAAGAAGAAAATAGAAACACCTTTTTTCCCAGTAAGAGCAATCAACCAATTAATCACACGAAAAATACTTCCAAAACACTCACAAAAATTACATGGTTACCGAATTAACACAAATAGGTGCCGAATTCACCAAATTCTGATGCCGAATTCACCAGATTTCGATGCCGAATTCACCAGGTGCCGAATTCACTGAGTGCCGAATTCACTTTTTCGTTAGGTACCGAATTCACCAGGTGCCGAAATCACTTGTACCCAAACAGACACCTTAAAGTCCATTTGGATTGGAGTATAGCTATCTTACGTTGGAATTTATGTCAGTGGTCTAGGGTCTGTTTTTCTGCCGAATCCTGATTCAATGTTAAATTGAATAATGGACGATTCCGTATATACAGAGGTGGAGGAGAGCGATTTGCAAACGTAAGTTTACGAGAGATAACACGATCCATATGCTGTAGGTTTGGGCTGGTGTGACATATCATTGGTGCACTCATCTAGGCAATATCAGTGGAAATGTGAGAACTCAAGGATATCTTGATGAGATTCTCAGACCTACTATTTTTTACGTTTCTGAGAAACATTTGACACAATGCTGCACTTCAAGATGAGAATGCAGTGTAGTTTTTTTTCTATTTATAGACGGACGATCTAAATGTAGCTACACAGACCATATTTCCTATTATAGAGATTAAATAAGTTAGTTCGTTTCATTTGTCTACTCTTTGTGTCCCAGTGATAAAACACCGTAGCATGTGTTACATCTGTTGGAAGTTTTTACAAATATAACCTCTCACTCGGCCATATTTTGACTGAAAAAAAGTTATTACAAGATCCTGTCTGATAGTCCATGTGTTTGTGTGAGTGTACATAATTAAAATGTATCATCATCTTATTACAATAACCTGTCAGAGACTCGTGTGCGTACATGCACATGTATATGCATTGTATTATCTTATTTCATTTACCTGTTTGATTATCCTGCCTCTCTATATATCTCAATTTAACCACTGTGTTGTGCCATAAACCAACCCATAAAAGGTGAGTTTCGTCATCATAAGTAAGGCCCCGTGGTCCATCTATCCTTGTTTCTTCTTCCAGTATCAGGGTCAAGAAGTTACCGTCTTTGTCAATCATTTGTACTGTGTAGGTGATAGCATCGCATACCAAGATATTTGACAGCGCGTCTGTACAGACCCCACGTGGGGATAAACCTGTTCCTGATGGGGGTCCTGTATAGCAGTTCCGATATCTTCCTCGATGCTCTGTCACCACTACAGCACCACGGCTCCAGTCAGACACAATAAGATCTCCATTGCAATTTTCTGTAATGAAGAAAGGATGTCTATACAGTCCCTGCCCTGTGTTGTTTTGTTGTATTGTCTGTATACATTGCCCTTTGTCGTTATACCGCGTTACCTTGCCGGTATCTGTATCAGTTTTCCACATCCCGACCAGTAGATCTCCATTGGACCGAGAGCTATAGACACAGCGGGGTTTCCATGGTTTTGTTTTCTTTATCAGTGTAGACTTTGTTTCATTATCTTTATATAGTCTATTAATGTTATCATCCCTATCGATATAAATAAGATCACCGTTAATGGTCACTGTGTGTACTCCCCATCCACTAACTATATCTGTCAGCTGATGCAGAACATAATTTTTTCTGTTTATTAAAACGGCATTGTCATCACTTAAAGGTAATTTACCTTCTATATTTGTCAAGATGAGATTGTCACCATCATTGATCCAAAACTTACCAGATGTGACACTGGAAATGTGTCTTACCTGACGTACACCGGTCACTTTAACGGATCTGTAAATCACGACTGTTTTCATCAGTTTCAGCAGGTATTCGTTTCTTACTTGTCTTTTTCCTGCCTCTATGATTTGAATATCACTTAGTAAATTGATAACTTCCTGTTTGTTTAGTTCCTCGGTCAGGGAAAGCAGGAGGTTTTGTGAAAGACTAGGAGTTTCCTTTATCTTGGTTACACGGGGTCTTTTGATGAAAAAAAGGAATTTTACCGGTGTGTTTGCTGAGAATTCAGTTCTGTGTTCATAGTTCTCTATGCTGACAAGATATATGTTCATTTTCCTCTTCTGTTGTTGTATTCTTTGCATCATATATCTTGTATATCTGATTTTAACATCGCACATCACAGTGTCAATCAAGTTCTTTAATCTATTAGCTTTTATAAACAACTCTGATTGTCGTTTGGAGATTTCTGTGAGACAAGTTTCTATGTCAGTTTTGATTACTGGCAGGAGAAAGCAGCTGTTATAAAGAGTTTCACTTCTGATGTGGCAAATGTTTCCTTTCTGTTGTAGTCGGTTTGTTTTATAGGCTGTTCTCAATCCATGTAATAAGTGTTGTTTATGTTCTTTACATCGGAAACAAACAGGAAGTTTACATAAGTTACAGAACATTTCATAAATTTTGTCTGGATGTCTCACACAGATCTCTTGCTTTGTGATGGATTCACATATCTCACGATAGATGACAACATCATGGTGTTTCGTGTCTAGATCAATAACATGTCTCTCTTTACACTGTAGACACAGGTCATGTTTACACATGTTACAGTAGAACTCTGTGTCCCCCTGACATTGTGAACACTGTCGTGCTTTATACTGGGAACTGATTCCTAGTTTATCCATGATGTGAACGGTTTACGACGTAAGGAGAACAATCTGTTGAAATTGAAGAAAAAAAGTATCTTTTTTAAATTCTTGGTACATATATATCAGAATAGGTTAATTATAGAAAATATAGTTGGATTTCCTCATTCTTAATTACATGTAATACTGATATGTAGTTAATTTTAAAGTTAAAATCGTTGTTACAAATTGTTTATCACTGAAAGTTTAATGTGTTTGGTAGAAAGATAAGAAAAATAATCAGGGTTTGTAATTCTCCGAAAGATATTGCTGCACTCAGCCCGTAAAATATCGAATACAATTTGTCAGGGGTCCAAACTCAACGGTTAAATTCCGGACCCCTGGTTTTGTGAGGATGTACAACAACTGGTTTTAATTTGTTTCTACTGCAAGAGACCAGGCCACATAGCAAGGTTATGTCATTCAACCCAATTATCTAACAAGTCATCTAAAGCTAAGAATACCAGTGCAGAATTATTAGTCTGAACAAGTCGAGCATTTTGAACAAAAATTACGAATCCCTTAATAAAGAAAAAAGAAGTAAAAAATAGATTGTTAAAATTCAAGAGTTAGTAAATGGTAATATTAATTCTTTCGTAAAAGAATAGCCTTCTGTGTGTATCAAAAATAATGAGTCGGTACTCGACAGCCCTGAGTTTGTAGGAAAAGCTATAAAAGAATAACTTGGCAGCAAATATATCTCTGAATTTCAAGAAAGGCCATATGTTGTCAAACTATTGACAATGTCTGAAGTGAGAGAAGGAAACAAAGACGAGTATCGAATCACAGACATATAAATTAATATTTTCAAAAGGAAAAAAGAATCGAGGGTGTTAAGAAAGCGGAAAAACTATATGCTAAAAGCATTATTTTATATTTTGATGTATATTGATGTATTATTCTTTTATTCTATATGCAGTTATAATTATGAAATATGTGTTGGTTAATTTATTTTTACAATTTTCTTGAATTAATTATTTTCCCGCTTAAACCCCATTGAGCAATTGATGCAGACACATGACTGATGACCATACGCAGACAGGTTTTTTAATTCCCTTGGGGTGATAGTCAGTATTGTTCACTGCTGTTGTTCTAACAGGTTGTGTTTAGAATTTATAGATTTGGGATTTTTAGATTTTCAGTCATGATTTATTTGTTGATTTTTTTTTAATTGTAATTTATGTATTTATTAATTTATTTATTTACTTTTTAGCGCACGTGAGCTCAAGTGAGTTTTTCTGATCACCTGTTGTCCGTCGTCCGTCCACCCGTCTGTCTAGCTGTCTGTCTGTCTATCCGTCTGTATCTATCTATATCTATCTATCTATAAAATGTTTTATTTTTATTTTCATTTCATATTTTAACCTCCTTTCCTGGTCCAAGAGAAATGATAGAGAAAGAAAGGGGGAAGACAGGGTCGTCAGGGACTTAGTCAGGGGACATCAGGGAGTTGAAAGGGACATCAGGGAATGTCAGGGGACATCAGGGGGTAAACATTGACAACAGGGGCAAAGACAGGGGATGTCAGGGAGTAGACAGGGTATGTCAGGGACAACGACAGGAATTAATAGGATTGATTGATTGATTGATTGTATGTTCTTTTACGTCAAATTCGAGAATTTTTCACTCATACAGAGACGTCACCATATACCTATATATTAGCGATGATCAATGGAGCAGAAAGAAAATATGTAGATATGCGTTGTACGTCTTCAGGATGAATGCATATGACATCTAGAGTGATTCGCTGCTTTAAATTCCTTATCTCGAACTATGTCCCAAATCATTAATTGCAGCACGAAGATTTTTAAGCTATTTTCGTAAAAAAAAAAATAAAAACTTTTGCTTAGGCAACTATTAACACCCGCCCTTCGTGAAGTTGGGGCTTGGCTTTGCAATAAAATTTCCTCAAATTTTCTGCAAATAACAGTTTAGAAATTGAGTACATCCGAAAAGATCTCCAATTGTCAATCTTTAAATACCGTTCACGGTAGCTCAGTCGGTAGAGCGCTCGCTCCGCGATCGGGAGGTCGTAAGTTCGAATCTCGGCCGCGACTGTTCCTTCGCCATGCGCTCGGCACTTTGAAGTGAAAGTTGAGGGTCCTTCGGATGAGACCTTAAAAACCGAGGCCCCGTATCACGGCAGGCGTTGGCACGATAAAGATCCCTCACTGCTCAATGGCCCTGAGTGCCGAGTAAAGGTCAAAATTTGAAGCCCTTCACCGGTATATGGTGACGTCTCTATATGAGTGAAAAATTCTCGAATGGGACGTAAAACAACATACAATCAATCAATCAATCTTTAAATCATAAATCGAATTTATTTAAAATTTTGATTTTGATTGTCTTAATTTTTGTGCTTTATTTGTTCTTTTGTTTTTTAATTTAGGCTGTATTTATTATATGTAGCTTTCTGTTTCTTAGTTTGAATACCTACTTTAGTTTTTTTTAATTAGTTGATTTTAAGGGGGCCGACTGGGGTTTTCATTGCGCAATGCTTCGCGCAGCATAGTAAAATAAAGCATATTTACTCTTTGAAAGCAACTATTTTTACATAATTTATATAAAAAAAAAACAAATTTAAGAAATCTTAGGTTTAAAAATCTAATTACGTTTTTAAATAACTGATTTTTAAAACGATTTTTTAAATTATGGGTAGATAGACGTCGTAATAGTGTGTTTTTGACGTTATGAATAACCGTAGTTCTTTAAGAGGGGTCATTAATTATGGCATAAAATAAAAAGTATAAAATATATGCTCTTGAAATTTTAAACATAGGAAATTGAAAATCTAATAATTATTTTTTTTATTTTTTATGTAAATCTGTGGTATCTGTCATGTTTTGTTGTACTCCATAAAAACAGGAAAATATCATGGATTTTGACATTTTGAGATGCTCTCTCTGAAAACCAGACGGTAGAATTTTGTGTATCTTGCACAAAATGTACAATATAATATTACCCATCAAATAATATAATTTGAGCAAAAAGTCTATCGTAGCATTTGTATAATTTGATCCGAAGTGCGAAAAAATGATTTTTCCTATATAATCCTTTAGTAATGTACCTGTATTTTGGAGTGGTACCTAAAAAATAACCAGACGGTAGATTTTCACTAAGCTTTGCAAGTGTACTGAAGTCAAGGTACATATGGTATAAAATTAAAGAGTTTCTCTATAGTAGTTTTCACACAATAAAACCCCAGTCGGCTCCCTTAAAATTAAAATGCATTTTTAATTATTAATTGTTTGGTTGTTATACGTTTAATTCTTTCTCAGAACCATCTGTTTAATCTGCTGATAAAATACGGTATGCCTTTGTGTTGGTGAATGCATTGTTATTCTCTAAACATACTTGTAAAACATACAATTGCCTATACATACTGATATCGGCATTGTTTGAATTGATTGATTTATTTATTAATTTTGTTTATAATTAACATCTCTTGTTTATTTTTAATTTAGAGGTACTCATAAGATATATACTTTGAAAGAGTTTCAATTCCCATTTAGTATTTCGTTTTTTGATATAGATTGTCTGGAGTCCTCAAACTGTTTAAATCTTCCAGTTAGACATTGAATTAGAAATCTCTTAGAAGGGGGTGGGCATACCAGGGCTAGGAAGCTTTTCCATATCAGACATCTTAAGCTCCTTCTCGACCTCTTCAGTCTCTTCAACGCTGGCTGGAGCCATAAAGGGGAGATCTAATGCGGCCAGGATATCATTATCAAAGAGAAGGTATAGCAACGGGTCGTCATCACAGAGATCAAAATTGACAAATTTAGCTATTCTAGTTATGCTTTGTAAGGGGAAAGTTCAAAGACGACGTTTATTGTGATAAATGAATAGATAACGTTTTGTGCAATATTAAAAAAGCATGTTTTGAAAAGATCTTATTTTGTGTGCGAAAATTAATTTTTATTTAATACGTGTCTTGTTTAAACGCCTTTCATTTTATTTCGGTTGTGTCTAAATATCACGAGCCTAGCGTAGTTATGAATATTCATGAGGTATTGATAACGAGAAAAAATATCTCGGTCAGCTCAAACAGATCCGGTATCCGCAATAAATTAAAGAAGAATGAAAACAAACTTTATTATCATTTTTAATAGTTTAATCAACGTTTAAATTGTTGTTTTATATACAAATAAGAAGCAATTCATTATTTTATATCCAAGTTTTTTCCCATACGAATATAATAATGTAAGAAATGACTTTGACATTTTCGCGCGGTTTCTAATCAAAACAAAACCATGCCGGCTGTCAGAAAGTTTAAGAACTACCAAGAAATACAAGCATTTCTTGAAGATTTAGAAAAAACAACAACAACAAGATTTATCACACAGAGAATCAGCAATAAACGACACTTTGAACTAGAAGGAGATGGTAAGGAGAAGTATTAACCGATTATAACTACCTACATGTATACAATATAATATTACGTAACGATAGATCTGTGTGTGTGTGTAAGATTATTAACATTATATTTCGAAGTATGCTGTTCTTTTCCAAAAACAGGTACAATTTAATTGAAAACAACAGGTGTAAACTAAATTATTTTGCCAAAAGAAAACGATTGAGTGAGAATGCAGAAAACGATGGAATTATTACAAAGAGGTATGCATGACATGCATTGAAAAAATATATAATAGGCTAAAAGGCTACCGATATAAAAAAAAAATCCACAAAAAACTTTTACACAGATATAAAACAAGTGAGCAAGGCTATTGACCTGGAACTTTTGAGTACTACAGGACAGGTAAGATTCCAGTACCCTAGGCTATTGATACGAACTACTGAGTACTACATGACAGGTAAGAGTCCAGTACCCTAGGCTATTGATACGGTCTACTGAGTACTACATGACAGGTAAGACACCAGGAACCCTAGACTATTGATACGGTCTACTGAGTACTACATGACAGGTAATAGACCAGTACCCTAGGCTATTGATACGGTCTACTGAGTACTACATGACAGGTAAGAAACCTGTCATGTAG